TATAATTTAAAACGTGGTGACATGGATACAGTTTAAATGTGTGTTGTTTTTTTTTGTTTGGTTTTTTTTGCCCTAAGGCCCTTAAGCAGGTCAATTACGTTTATATCATTAGTTTTGCATTGCTTATCGTAGTTTTTGTATATTAAAACATGAATCTGTTCATGAAAGTGACAAAGAAACCTCCTTAAATCTTCCCTTCCAGCTATAGTGGTGATAAATGGTGATGCTAATTCATATTGCATATTGAGAGCTCGCTTCCTTGTGTATTGTGACCCCGAAGACTGCAAGAAAGCATTACCAAGAGATGCAGCCTGCTCTTTGGAGGAAAATCGATTGGGTACCCCACATAGACTGGTCATGAAACACACTAGACAAAGACACCAGTGATCCATGTAGAGCCTTGTGAAAGTATAAGAGATCTGCACTCCACAGTATTGAGTGGTGTGTGAAATCCTGTTTTTCTTTTTTGAGGTTCTTTGTGTATCTGTCTGTACTGACTGATTTTTATGTTCTGTTTTCCCCTCTTCCTGTGTTTTCCATTTCCTCCGTTTCTCTCCCTGCCTCCTCTCTCACTCTCACAGTCTTCCTCTGCTGCTATCTCTCCACAGCTCACCAAGCTTCACCAGCTGGCTATGCAGCAGAGCCCCTTCCCCATCGCACCAAGCAACCAGGGCTTCACTGGTACGCAGCAGAACAAGGCCTCGTGGGGCTTTTCGTGCAACATTTTGTGAACTAGCCAGTTTTAAAAGTCAGAATCTGTATAGGTTGTTTTGGTCCCTCAAAGAGATTTGAAGAAAACTCAGATGTGACAAAAAACAAGAGCTTGGTAATGGTTACAAACCACTTTTATTGACTATTCAGTGATGACAATGAGGCTTTGTACTGTGATATCAGACTGTATAAAGTTGAAAGATTTTTCTAATATTTTGTCCACCTTATTGACATTAATACATTATAATGTATTCCAGTACCAAAACACTACACACTCGATGTGAGGAAAAGGGGGATGTTAAGTTTTTACAAAATCGGAATTCGTATACAAGGAGTGAGTGCATACCTTGCTAATAATATATTAAAGTATCCCTATCTATCACAATTAACACAGTCCTTTCATTCCTATAATCAGCATAGTTTAATGTTAATTTTTAGTGTTCACTTTTAGGTACAGTATATTATTTTTCCTATTTTGTCATTGTTTATTATCATTTTCTTGTTTGTGTTTCAGGGATAGATGCTTCTGCTCAAACCAGTTCCCACGAGATGACCATTCCAAATGATGTAAGTGCTTCAAAAAGTCTCTTTTTTTTTTAAACTGTCGAAGTTCAGGCATGTTTAACTTAATGTTACCCATGCTGTTTGACTGGGATTAAATAATGGCGTATGACCATCTTGATTCAATCTTGTTAATTCCAAGTTGCAAACTTTACCAGAAGAATGTTCATTTTGTTGTTCAGGGTCTATTAAGCATTCCTGTCACTTAACTCTTCTCCACTACAGCTTATTGGGTGTATCATCGGCCGCCAGGGAGCCAAGATCAACGAGATCAGGCAAATGTCAGGTGCCCAGATCAAGATTGCTAATCCAGTGGATGGATCGACTGACCGCCAGGTCACCATCACAGGCTCACCTGCCAGCATCAGTCTGGCAGAGTACCTCATCAACGCCAGGTGAGATAATCAGTTATATACTAAATCAGTGCCTAACAGGAGATTCATTCAGTCATAGGCTTTAAAGAAATGAAAACATTGCATTAGCTGTGTTACATGTACTTTCACTTTAATGCAAATTGTTTGTCTGCTTCAGTTCAGTTTGAATAAATTGTAAATTCTAAATATTAAAGAAAAAACTTTCACAGTTACTTGGACTAACCTGATCAGATTTCTCAATGTCACGGTATCACAGTAATCCATAAAATAATGAAATGGTTCATGTACCTAATATCATATGTAAGTACATGTCTGGGCCACATGCTGCATCAACTTTTCTAGTTTGTATTTGTGTTGAAATTCAACTGATTCGGTTACTACTAATCATCACGGTGTTGCTAGCTCTCTGTCAGTCTGCACTTGTGATCTTTCCCTTATTTTAACCTTTGCCCCACATTGATCCGTCACTAGAGATGTGATGTGTTTTGTTTTTTTAAATTTTGGATTGATACATTCATTTCTAATGGAGCTTTTTTTCTTGTGTTTTGATCACATCCCTGAGTGATTCCCCCAGACACACCTCACCACTTCCCCCCCACCTACCCTCACCCATTGCTCACCAGCCTGCCCTATGACCCATCCCGACTGTGTTGTCCCTCTCTCCTTGTCTCTCTTTCTACAGTGTAGAGTCCTCTAAACCTCCTCCCTCCTCCTCCTCCTTGAACCCTGAACAGACCAGCCCGTGCCCTCCCTCCACCTCTACTACTACTACTACTACCACTACTACTACTACTACTACCACCACCTCATCTGCTGCTACCTCCTCCTTCTCTTCCTCCTCCTCCTCTTCCTCCTGTGTGATGCCCCCCTCAGCCTCCATCCCTCTGTCCTTGTTGGCTCCAGGGCCACCTCCTCCCTCCTCTTCCTCCTCTTCCTCCTCCACTGATTCCCTGCTCCCCAGTTCTCCTGCCTGTGTGTCGAGTCTCCTCAGTCTCAAGCCCCTCCCTCTCCTGGCCCTCCATGTTGTCAGCGGGGCCAGTAACCCCGCACATCCAATTCCCACTGAGCCCAAAATCACCCAAGAGCTGAGTTCCAAGTCTAAAAGGCGAAGGCTCTCCCCTTACTAACGAAGGAAACATAAGTCATCTACAACTAAAGTACCGACAATGCTCTTCGTTGTCTGTACCTGCACTTGCTTTTGTATCTGGCTGTGCCATGCCACGCTTACTACAGAAAACGAATGCACACAAACAAGAGTTACACAGCCAGACAGATGGTTGCTGCCATATTTATAAAATAGATATCTGTAGCTTGATTGGCCTGTCTCTTAAAGAAATGACATGTCGAGTGCATTATATTTTTTAATGACTTTGGACTTAGCATGGAAGCATTTCTCTCTTTGTGTAAGCTCTGCTCAGGTAGCGGCTCTCTTTTAAGATGTCACATGTATTTATGAGAATAGTTTTCTTGTAGTGTGTTTTAAGTGACTACTGTTAACGGCCATAACGGAGAGTATATGTACGTATTATTAATTTATTCTTTTTCCTATGTAAGAAGCAGTTGTAATTTCAATTCCAAGTCAGTCTGCCCTCAGGTATCAAAGGCACCAAAACGCCCTTTATTTAGGTCGTTTTGTTGATATAAAAACAAAAAAAACCATCCAGCTAGGTTTCTGATGTTAGAGCCAGGCTAACCAGTTGCTGTCGAGCTTCTCCGCTAACTCTCGGCAAGAATAAAAAAGCGTGTTTCCCTCCATAACCAAACTGTTAACTATGAGTTTGAGATCTGCCTCTAAACAGCTGTTGGCTGAGAAGAATTATCGATCACAAGAGGAGCGAAACTGAATTGGAGCACACATTTCCTGTAATAAATCCAGATAATCTCCTTATCTAGCATTTTTATTATAATAATGTAATATACAGTAATTGACATGTGTCTTGTCTATCTGATTGCATGCCTTATTCTCTCTCCCTCCCTACACTCCGGGTGTGTCTCTGTCTGTTTCTCCAGGCTTTCCTCTGAGGCCACAGGACTGGCAGCCAACTGATAAGACACTGCATCTGCACTAGATCTCACTTTTATATCATCGGCTACCATAAAAGCAGTCAATGCAACTATCCAACTTAAGAGTTTATATATTATACTGCCTCTTCCTCATTTGAAATCATGTCATACGCCTCTAATTTGATCTGCCGAGTTCATTATTTATTTTCTTATTTTGTTTTGGTTTTAGTCAAAAGAAGCAAACAATTAGGTTTTAATTCCCTTTTTGAGTCAAGTTGGAGGTTTTAATGATTTATTAGACTTTTTTTTTTATTTGTTTTTGTTTTTTTTTGCCTCTTCCCTTTTCCTTTATTTGCCATCACAGAGGACTTGAGTTGGAAAACTCTAAATAGACATATAGATTTAGTTCTGTACAGTCTGTTTTTTTCTTTAAAAAGAAAAAGACAAAAAAGGAAAAATTAAAAAAAAGTATCAAAAATAAGAATAGAGTGACAGTTTTATTGTGTTTATATACACGCCCCCTTTTCCTAAGCCAGTTCCACAAGTCAGTCAGTTTCCTGTCCATAGTCACTTGCTTTAAATATACACAGTATTCTCCCCCTTTGTCACCTTTTCAATTGAAGTGCTTGTAACATGAATTATACTCGTATCACTGAGGACCTTTACATAGCTGTACATGCACCGTCACTGATTTATATTTGGTTATGACGACAAATGTTCTAACACAATTGAATTTATCCAGATAATTTAAAATGTGTATTACTGCGTGTGTCACCTTTTGCCCCTCAACGCGTCATTCCTGTTTCCCCCCTCTCCTGGTCCTGAGATCATGTGTTGATATTTTGCTGGGATGGGAGGTTTTTGGGGTTTGGGCTTGGCTCTAGGGATCGGAAGCAGAGGGTTCGCCTCGCTTTTTTGTAAAGACTATACTAAAATAAAAAAAAGTTGGAATATTTGTTTTAAATGAAGGAAATATTTTTTTTTAAACTACCAAAGGGGGATTAACTCCTGGACACAGACTGATCTGTCAGTTAAATGTGATGAGGCAGAGAACTGAAATCATTGAAGCTCTGGAGCTAGACAAAGAAAGGGTTGTAAGTTAACACTAGTTTCCTGCTCTTTGCTTTGCTCAAGTCAAAATTTATTTTATTTTTTATTTGCAGGAAAGAAAAACTTTTGTGCACGTTTTTGAGACTGTAGACCTGGGTGCCACGACATTGTTTAAAAAAAATACAGAAATAAAAATGTGAAATGCTCAAACCACAGCTTGTCTGGAGTATGTAAGTTTGTATATTGAACACACATGTTGAGATTTTGCGGGATTGATTTTATTTTAAATTGTTTCTTAAATATATTTATTGTACAGTTACAATAATGAAGTATAAAAAGCAAATGTTTCAGTTCAGACAGGGTTGTTTCAATCAGCATCACGGGAAACAAAAGTACCTCCAAAATGGAGACACTAGAGGGCAGTAGGTTTTGCTTTTTGGCAACATTTTCTCCTGCAAGAGGATTTCTAGCTTTAAGTCTTAGGGCCACAATCCATTTAAAGAGATCTACAAATTGAAAACTTAACACCAGAAAAAAATAGAAGCTGCCATTTCTAGCTTATTGAGCGGGACCTCAACAGTCTGAAATTTTCAGGATGTAATGTGCTGTTGTACAGTCAGATTGAACCACATGCACATATGACTTGTCAAGGTACATCACAACCAGAGTTTTATGTATCATACTGTCTATTATGAAGGAGCCCTTTCACATTAGTGAAAATGACCATTTATGGGCCAAAATTTCAGCTGGTGAGGACAATATCAGAGTGACCTTTCTGGAAACTGATGAATCACATTGTGGGCTTGTAAAGCTTCACTGTCTAAATTAATTTGCTATGTTGGGGGATGGCAAAAAGTTCTTCTGAAGTGCTTCTGCTGCAGATAAGCCTGTGATTGCTTTGTGATGTACTTACCAAAACAACACTAGAATCAAAAGAATGTGAACCACATTAAGTTTGACAAAATGATCTAAACTCTTATCTTCTCTCTCCTGTGCTGGTGCACTGCAAACATACGTCGCCACATGTCTGGCAAAGTCAGAGCAGAAAACCACCATCATATTTAGTTCAGTTACTCTGAGATCTACAGTATGTTGGTGTTTTCTGTCCCTGTCACCTACATGTCTTCAGTCATTAGACTGGAGTATTTCAGTGTCTGCCAGAAATCTGCAGTCTGTCTTTTTTTGCATTTTTTTCTCTATGGTTGGATCTAAAATTTAATTTTGATCAGAGTCACAAACCGTGACCAATAGACTATCCATACTTGCATGCTTTTTTGATGCTATATACACCCCGAGATGCTCAGAAAGGGTTCAAACCAGTATTGCGTTTTAATACAGCAAACACTGCAATACTAATAAAAAAAGCCTGTCTGCCCTGAATTAACTCAGCTGTGGTTCTTTTAACCCGTGACATGACAGGACATACTGTACCAGAGCAGACATATTGCTTTTTCTTTGTTCACGTGTTCTTCCTCTTTTATCTGTGTTTTGATGCTCAGACATGAACAGCAGCTACAGTACATTCTACTACCATATGCTTTGAGGTTCAAATACAGTAGCGCCACCTAATTAGAAACATCAGCACCTTTAAATTATACAATCTCACATTTAAAAAATTTGTTCATTTTACAACATCACATATTTACAGTGATATTAAAACGCAGGAGTAGAAAATGGAAACATAATCCATGACACAAATATGAATAAATAAATGTAAACACCACAAATGAAAAATGTAAACATTGTTTTTTTTACGAATATCAATGGATTCACTGTAACATAATGAATTAGTCAGTGCATAATGTTTTGAGAAGAAATGCAATATGACAAGGAAATGATCATGTGGAAATAGTACATTTCATAAATTAAGTGCAAGCAGCAACATCAGTGGCTGTCCCAGTGATAATGACAATTAAATATAATAGAAGCCCTGATAGGATTTTATGACCATTATATGAGATGATGTGAAATAACATGACACTTTTTCATGACGGAGACAAAAATACAAATTGACATGGAAGATGACAAGAGACATTAATAGACAGTCAAGTAGATGGCCTCTTTAACTGAGGCCCCTGTCACTGAGGTGTTCTGCAGAGCTGATCTTGGGCCAGCTGCTATGGAGGGAACATAGGGGGCTGTCAGCTCGGCTAGTGCCCCGATTCAGTTTCACATCACTGTGATGCATTCATCTAAAAAGGAGGGGGGGGGGCTTCCAGGGTATCAGATTTTTGAGAACACTTACCAAAGATTTATGTGTTCCTGCTTGTGAGGAGAGACAGGCCTTCATTTGCTGCCTCTCTGCAATGTCCCTGAATGACTAAAGGTCTGTTAGAGTGAAAGAGGCATTCACAGGCTGCATCTGCAGGTGTTTGAGTGGGTTGAGGTGTCAGATTTTCACCAGTTGGTTGGTTGTTGGCTGGGTTCCGCACTTCCTGAATGGTCCAGCTCTGCACTGTCACAGTCAGAGTCATCATACAGGCCCTGCTTCGGAGGAAAAACATGAATTATCTGAGTCAGAACAGCAACAGACTCTTTAATGCTGACTACAAAAGCAGATTCTGATCTATCGTCTCCATCTTAGTATCTGTGAGCGATTATGCTTTGAATATCTCTTAGCTATATCTGGCATGCTTCTATATATCACTCTATATCATCTTTTGTCTTTGCATTCACTCTCTGAAGCTTACCTCGTAATTATGATCATTACTAGCGAGCTGGGTCTTGACTTGTCGAAGAATAGCTTCCTTCTCAGACAATCCATCTGAGCCCAGCTGGGTTGGGTCAGATGGGTCAGCGGGAATCTCTGAGCCCTGAGACAGTAGGTCGTCGCTCTTGTCGTCCAGACGCTCGTCGGTATTGGTACTGACCACGTCCGGCGTGCCACTGTGGGAGTGGTCAGTGGTGTTTCCCTCCTCACCGTCTGAGACTGATAAGTTCTCTGAGCTGAAGGTGGACAGGGACTGGCACTTGGTCATGCTCACTGGACGCCTGAGTGGGAATACAATAGGAAAGATTACATGTACAGTAAATCGACAAACATTTTCTTTTACTGCATTTATAGGTACTTTACAGTACGGAGAAATGAAAGGTGAAAAAAGAAAAAAAATGTGATGGTATTCATGCTAAAAAGTTAAAGCTCATGCATAGGTTTGTGTCTCTTTAGCCACATTGGATCACACTTATAATTCACAATTATTTGTTGCTAATATTCTCATATTACGTTTTAAAGGCCCTGCACACACTGAGATCTAATCATGCTAAATAACTGAAAACACCTTTATGCATGTACCACGGACATGTGTGGGCTTTAAAAAAATGTTTTTGATTTGTGTTGGGAAGATGTATGGACCGTTTTGTGTGGATGCACAGATGGAAACGTGAATATGGTAGCTCTTCAATAATTATATTGAACTCTTACCGTCTCCTTGGCAACTCCACTTCACTGTCCACTTCTCCTTCCTCTTCCTCTGAAGACACTCCACGTCTCTGCCGAGAAAATCAACAGTATGTATGAAACCCCAGCATTTCCCTGTTTCAGTGCACACTAATTACGCTTATTCCTGCGCCGTCTGGTGCAGGAATAGAACAGACCCTGGTGACACCCTGGGTACATGCTGAACATAGTAGTACTTTCAGAAAGCCAAAGAGACTGAGGTTTTTGGATCACTGAATCAATAATGTCTTTTGCTACTTGTACATATTTATCACTCATATTCTAACATAAAATACCCTCAGCTAACACATTAAACAGCCAGTTGAAGTTGCAGTTATGACTACTGACAAATCAACTATTCACAGGTGGCAGTAATTAAATACTAATTAAGTGGGCTGTTATTAACCACTTGAAAATTCCCAGCAGGCTCTGTGTTTTTTTGTGTGTTATCTTTGTTCATTGCATGGCATCTATAAAAATGAGAATGAGGATACTTGATTAGACTAGAGACCAAAAGCATTTGACTATCTGGACTTCATCAGTGTCCCCAATTACAGCAAAACAATTAAATGATGATAGCATGGCAGCTTTTTTCTTTTGTTTCCTCTACAGAGTCAGAGGGTTAAGTCAAGACAGGGACACTGATAAAGGCAGGAAGATGTTTTGTCCATTTAAATCAAAATGATTTGATTCCCTAAAGCCTTTCACTGCTAATTAATATTTGTTCCCTTTATAAGGCAGAAGTCAAAATGATTTTGTGAAGCTGGGCCACAGTTATACAATGCTGCTCCAGTCTCACCTGACTGCGTGTCACTGCTGCCCTGTAAAGCAGTGCTGCCGGTGTGAGGCGTTGACTTCTGGGTGAACGCGTGATTACCGTCCCGTCCTCCTTCTCCTCACCCTCGTGGGAAACGCGGGGGTTCCCAAGCACAGACGCCCTCCCCGCAGCTGCTCCCCTGCCGCACGGCGAGTCAGGGCTGCTGGAGAACGGAATAGAAGCTGCATCCTCGCTGGGCGTGTCACTGCGTGGAGGTGTTTCTGCCAGGTCATCAGTCCCTACACCCACATCTGGCCCCTCTTCCGGCCCCTCTGTCCTTCTGCTCTCCCCCAGCCCGGCTGAGGCGCTCTGGCTGCCCGCTCTGTCCAGCCCTGGCCGGACCTGTCCCTTCCTCCGGCCTTCAGCCTCCAAGGTGGTTGAAATGAGATCCGGGCTCGAGGAGTACATCTTCTTGAGCAGCAGATCATGCTGCAGGCCCCTGAGTGCTGCACTGGGGTCTAGATGTTGCTTGCTGCTGGGAACAGATGTCGTGGCGTTGACCATTGCTAAAGAAGAGGAGAGAGTGGCTTTGAGCTGAGCCAAGTCCCCGCTGCTGCCTTTACCAGCCTTCCTGTAGCGGGGTTTTCCTCGGCGTGAGCGGCCAGGGGAGGTAGAGCCCTTGTTGGGGATTGTGACCTGGGTCATGGAAGAGTCCAGTTTGGGGAGGATGACCTCTGACTTTAGTAAGTCTGGCCTGGAAAGGACAGGTACAGAATAAATAAAAAAACAGGAGGAAAGAAAAAATCTTTCAGTGCTTTGACATACATACATACATACATACAGCTAGTTTGTCTCCCACATTTTCCACCATATAAATTAAAGTATAAGACTGGTGATGTTCTATATTGTTATTGTCCATAAATTCCTTAAAAATCTATAAACCATTAATGTATTAATACTTTCAGTACTTAACTGACTGTACTTAACCCATACCCATTAGTTCCTAATGAAGTCTTTCAGGGACATTAGGGAACTGTAGTTTTTAGCAAACATTGCTCAAATAGGGGTAAATAATGTACTTTTTGGGGACTATGCACAAGGGAATAAGCAATATCAGACTTTGTATTCACATGCAGTGCTTGTTAGTAGGAACAATTTATTGTTGGTTTTGGTCTGTTTGTGGGATTTGTTTACAATAAAAAAATATAGAATATTATATATATAGAGAATATCCTTTACCATAGCCTTGAGGTTCACATAATATTCAAGTGAAACCTGATCCAACCATCCACATATCAATGCTGTAAATTTAGATAAAGCCTCGCTGGCTCACCTCTTGCTGTACGAGGGCAGTTTCTGAGGTACATTGCGTTTCTTCATGAGTTTCTCCATCGAGTTGGAGGAGGCTGACTGTCTGGAACTGTGGTGCTTGAAGCAGCCCGGGTATTTCTTGTCCAGTGAATGCTCCCGCCTGATGTTCAAACACAAAGCCGATACTCGTTTAATGGATGTCAATGAATACTCAGCATGGCATAAGAGACCACTTTGTTACACACAACAGCCCTGTATGGCTGGATGTAATGGCCATTCGCATTACATTACGGGTGACCTTTTGCCTGTACTTTCACAAAAACACAGCTTAATCAATGTTGATGGATACTGCTATTAGTAAAAAGTATTTGAATGATTACAATTTTCCTATTGTTACAGTGCAATACATGTTGCACTAACTAGAAAATGACTACAGCATACTGCCCTAGTCTACTTGATAAACATTACTGTATCATCTGTTACTTTTTCTGAACTTTCACTCACAATCCCCGTGCAACCTAACAGAACCTGTCTAGTAGTGCAAACCAGATAGAGACCTATTTACATAGTCTCAAGGCTGATAAGTTGCTGCCAAAGGGGCATCTACTAAACACTGCCTTGGAGGGGGTGAATATTTATGAGAACAATCATTTTGTATTTTATGTTTTTAAGTAACTTAGATCACTTGGTAGAGATCTGCGTCAACTTTGACATTAAGTGGTCTTTTTCTGTTGCTCAGTTTCCAAAAAGCCACATCATATTCACTTTGACTCAATGTTGTAAATCAACAAAACATGAAAATGTTTAAGGGTACTTTTTTAAGGTACTGTAAATAAATGTCAGTTTTCATACTTGAGCAGTTCTTTCTCTTTGATCTCCAGCTGCAGCATGATGGCATTGAGCTCCATATAGAGATTGTTGGCTCTCTCCAGTTTCCTCTCGTAGTGCTCCCGGATGTCCAGCGCATGTCTGTGTAGAGATGAAAATGGGGTCAGCCATTAATACGCAGATTAACATTTATTTACTGCTTCTCTAATTGTATGGATTTCTCAATAATTAGCTCATCCTTACATCTTTGTTAGTTATGGAACTATTTTTTATTTTTTAAATATTTCAAGATTCAAGATTTCTTTATTGTCATTCTACAGTGCACTGTAACAGCACAGGAATGATTAAAAACACTATAGGAATATGAGATTAAAAAAAATGTATATGGGTGTGCGGAGCATGTAGAGTGAAAATAAATATCAATATATACAACGTGGAAATACGGAAGAATGTAAATATCTAGATATATACAGTTGGAGTACATCCATCCATCCATCCATCGTCAACCGCTTATCCTGCATACAGGGTCGCGGGGGGCTGGAGCCAATCCCAGCTGACATCGGCGAAAGGCGGGGTACACCCTGTATACGTCGTCAGTACACAGTTGAGTACATACATGTGTAAAATAGTGCAGTTGACTTCTTTGCTAACCTGAGTTCTTCTCTGCGTCGTTTGATCAGCTCCTCATCCAGCCTGTGAAGACACGTCCCCTCAGACTTGATCTTCTCAAAGTGGTGCCTCACCTCATCCCTCCACTCCACCTATGCATAAAAACAAAAAACACATCCATCAGTGCTGGCATCGATGAAGTACAGTAAGCAAATATTTCACAATTTTACAGATAAGAAAAAAAATGTCTTTATGCTGACGAGCAACAGTGTCTGGTAATAAGGCTTCAGATAGTTTTAAAGTATCTTCGAATGTTACAACTACCACCACTTCTGCTCTGATCAATGCTTCTACTCCCATTGTCACCACTAATACTACCTCCAGCCTTTATGTTATTACCACTACAATGAATCATTTCGTTTATATGAAACAACTCAAAATAGCCAAAGCAGCCTGTACAGTCAGTATGACCACCACAGTCAGTCAGAAATCAGTAGCCTGCCATTCCCATATTTTCCGTTGTGATAATAAAGTATGACTCGACTTCATCTTAGTAATACTAACAACAAATTAATATTGAGAATAAACTTCATTGCACCTTGATCTAGTATAAAAGCTCTTAATCTGCAGAGAGGTTCATGTGTATCATTGAAACAAAACCCATTAAGCTGTCAGATGATAATCAATACAAAGGGAGGGAAACTGAACATGAACTGATATGACATGAGCACAACAACAACAAAAAAGCAGCGCGGGCATTTTCTTGTACATGGTGGAGCGTGACCGCTGTTATCTGATACCTGTCATATCAAAGGACAAAGCAAGTCAGATATATGTGTTTGCACGTACATGCATGTGTGTGTAGTGTGTGTGTGTATTTCTTATTAAGCTAATGGACTCTGTGTGCACTTTTCTATGTCTCTAGTACCCTCTTCCTCCTTTCTCTGTGCTCTCTGCTCCCTGCCATTAAACCAATCAATACACTCCAGCAACAAATACTTCTTTCTAACGTCACAAGAAAAATCCATTATGGGACAGAGAGGGGAGAAACTGGGGGTGGGGGGTGGCAGGGAGAAATAAAGGATGAAGCATAAGTGGAAAGAGGGAAAGAGGTTTGTATTTTGCATCATGAGATACAAACGGAGGAGGAGGCAGTGGATTGCTGCGAAAAGAAAATTAAATCTTTTTCATTTTGTGTGTTTGTGTGTGTCTCACAATTATACACGCTTGAGTTATAAATGAATCTGTGGTTCTGCACGGCTGAGTAAACACATATCTTCCACGCAATTATACTTCTTCTATGTCTCCTGTCCTTCATCTCTTGGGTTTGCAGTGGTCTAACATATTTTTCATGGGCCCCCATCCCCCACCCTATCACAGGCAGACACACACCCTCCTTCTCCATCGCACAGACCTTCTCCGTCACGCCTTTATATGATGGAGGTTGCGAAAAGGTTCTCTCTTCGACCACAAATCAGCACTTGCATGTGACAAGGAACAAAGACCAAGGAACCAACAATAATATGTTGAGGGCGTAAGAGGACGGGTATTATTAGTGGACTCCCGAGAGGCCTGGGGCCCCGGTGCAGCTGCACACTCTCCACTGCCTGTAGTTACTGCAGCAGACTGGAAACAAATGGCAGTTGGTTGACAGCAAAATGACTATCAGAGATACTGGCTGCTGTTGACAGGAGGAGTGACATGCAGTGCTCATGCATACCTCATCTGGTATGTATTTATTTGACAAGGGAGACAACTTCAGGAATGATGGTTCTCGATTCTATTTCCCCTCAATTGTAGATATACAGTGTCTGAACAAGATAAATGTACTTTCTCTATAATGTCTAAACTGGTACTGATGAATAATCTAAAATCAATACCTTTAATTAAGTCAGAATGTACCCGTCATTTAGGTATCAAAGTAGCTGTTAGGACTGTTGACAGAGACAAATTAAGCTTACCTGAGACTGAAAGTAAGTTTCTTGTGGAGTTGATAGGATATCTGCTGAGGCGATGTCAAGGTGCAGGAGAATCTGTCGGAAGGAAGGCCTGTTTCTTGGCTTGCAGTTCCTGTGAACAATTTAAACCAGCGTTTTGTCAGAAATGCAAGGGGACGTGGGGAAAAAATTACCTTTCCTCTCCGTTCCCTCTTTTTTAAAACTCTTTCTTTCCCCACACTGCCTTAACTCTCTCAGCAATCTTAAAGCTTGTAACGTCAACATATTGTAGTGTGTGTTGTTAGTGTTGATGCCTCAACTTTCTTTTTCCACATCATTCTTCTTCCCTCCATCTGTCCCTGCCTCCATCCTTCTCTGCACCCTCCTCCCCTCCCGCCTGCTCACCAGCATTGCCTCAGGAGCAGTTTGAAGCTGTCTGGACAGCTGTCAGGTACAGGCAGCTGTAGACTGTTGTTGCCCACCCCCCAGATAATGGCTGACGAGTCCACATCCTTATAGGGCACCTCTCCTGTCAGCATCTCCCACAGCACAACGCCAAATGACCTGCAGAGAGATGTGGCATATTTACTTTCAGACACAATGATAAAGATGTGAAGTGAACTGGTGAAAGGAAACATGACTGAAATGTCACGCTTTGTGGAAATTAATCTTTGTTACTACAGCTTTTATATCTGATGGATAAGGCTTTTATGCTAATGCCTTGAGGGCAGTCTTTGGTAGCTTAAACTAAGTATTATCAAGGTTTGGTATTATGAAAGGTTTACTCATTGCTAACAGTTTTCTATCACTGGAATCATGTTAATGAATGTTAAACAGTTAACACTGGTAATATCCAAAATAACATACAGGATATTACCCAGTGAATGCTTCTGTCAGGCCTGATAAATACATCTCAGCTCCAAAATGCAGTAATTGGTAACAAATGAATGTTCTGCCAAAACATGATGCTTTATTTCACTACAGTTCAGTACTTCATTGATGAGCTCCAGCTCTACCTCTGTTTGGCAGGGGAGCCAGAGAGCAGGCCCATGGGATATGTAACTATGGAAAGTCTGTTGTTGGTGATTCTCTGGCTTGCCATGGTGACCATGTCTACAGTTTCCAAGGTGCCAATAGCATCACACGAAGCATTTAGGCAGTGCGCGATGTTGTGTTTACATGTGTGTTTTTAAAGTCCACCTGTCTCCTTGTTTCTGATTCATGTTATGAACGCACAAGAAGGGAGACTTGATTTAAAGGCAATGCATGCATTTTCTTACCAACAGGTTAAGATTAGCTCTTAATTAAATGAAGGATTACAACTACATTATTCACTATCACTAATATAATGACCCATTCAGTTTCAGTTCAGTGTGACATATCTTAAATTTTTATCATTTTCATTTGAAGACAGAGAAATTAAAACTGAAAATCTCCATATTTGTTTCCCCACTCTTGTCATGAAGATGTTTTTGTTGGATCATTTTATCCACAGACTCATTAACTATATAACCTAGTGAAGCAAATTATCGCAGGATTTATACAGATCGCACGTCAATATATAGGTATTTATTGTGTGTTTATTTGTTGATCTGTGTAGCGAGCTGATGTATACAATTGTCCTCACAAGAATAAATATAGTTGGATTGAGTTGAATTTACCTCTGGCTATTTTAGTATAGTCCTTACATAAAAACCAGAAAGGAACATGAGTTGTACTTGCTGTCAGCAGCACAAAACAAAACTGAATCTATACAAGATAATACTTCTCCACAGCCTCACTTTTTCTGACTCACTCTTTTTATGGACTATTATCTAATTTACATGAATTTAAACAAAACTGCACAATACACACCCATGCTTTGCTGGGTGTGTATTGTAAGCTTTTTAATCCTACTTTCACTTCTCTGCTAATGCACTGCTGGCTCTGAGCCAAACCATCCACAGACTCTGGAAGGTTATTCCAGCCTCTCCTGAGCACTGCAGCATCTGGCAAATCAATTATTAAATTAGCCAGCGTTCCTTTCAGGACGGAGAGGAAGAGTGATGGAGGGATGAAGGATGGAAGAGAGAGGGGGAGAATGTACTGGGGGAGATCAGGGTTTAACACAGGGCAACCCATCAGATATAGCAGAGGCCCTATAGAATTTCATGTAATGAGATATTGTACATAATACTGAATAGATTTTCTGGAAATAGGATCCTACGCTCTATACTGTAGTGCGCTGTAACTAATGAGATTCTATGTTGATTCAATGACAGATAAGACAAACCATAAGGGAAAATTGCAAAGGGTCACCAATGCAAAAGGACTATGTAAAAGGGTTCTGTCACCTACCAAATATCCACCTTCTCTGAGACGGGTTCGTTGCGTATGACCTCTGGAGCCATCCATGCCACCGTACCGGCAAAGGACATTTTGGTGCTCTTGTCGCTGAGCTCTTTGGACGTGCCGAAATCAGAAATCTTCACTGAGTCATCATAGGTGATCAGCATACTGGAATGAAACGTTGAATGCCAAGTTAATATTTATATATTACAATCCATCTGCATACAAACATCAAAAGGTGTGGCAGCCAGGGCCTTTCAGAGTTAGACATTTGCACACTAATCATAGCATCTAAATTTGGCCAATCAATGCATCCTTGTAAAGCAGTGGTTCCCAGCTATGGGTCGGAAACCCCACTGCAGGTCACAAGATAAATCTGACGGTTTGCAAGATGATTAAAAGGATAGGAAAGGAGTTAAAACCTATTTCTACAACACAAAATTATGTTTATTTTTACCTATAATCTTTTCCGTTTTCCCTGTAAATTACTGGATAATGTAATCTCCTCAGGCCTCTAAAAAGTATTCAAATGAACTGCTCACAACTGGTAGACAAATGCAACCTGTGACGTGGGGCTGCAAGTAGACATTGTTTTGTTTTGAGGGGTCAAAACCCCTTAAAGGTGGGGCAGGCAATTTATTTCAGTAGCATTTTTTGTTAGATTTGTTGAAAATTTACTTTCTGACAGCAATTGATAAATCGATTGCCTTGACACAAATTTTACAGTATCTATGGCTGTAGCAGGACTGTAATATGCTCAGCCAATCATTTAATTCAGTCCAAATAAAAAGACTGGCTGGCCAACTTGCCTCCTCTGTGTGCACTCTGCCCGTGCACTTACTGTGATGGCTGGATACTTTCAAAATCTAGATTTCTCTTGCTAGTTTCTTCAACGTCACCCTCTTAAACCGCAGGTGCTTTCAATATTACTGAAATTCTAACAAATGACCTTACATTCATCCAACATAGGGTTTACTTTCACAGTGGACTTTGAGTGTCAGATGTCAAAATACATTTGTATTGTAACTGTATCATTCCATGAAGCATGAAACTGTACAACACCTTTTTTGAAATCACAAATTCAAGCAGTGTAAGATTTGTCTTTTTAATGTGTCTAGGTCTATCCCCCTACTTTGAACAGCTTCCTGACTCTCCTATCAAAGCTGATCTTAAGCTTTAGTTAAAACTATTTAGTGACCTGTCTGCTCATTTACACGTACACTCACACAGTTCATTTTAACTAGGGCTACAAAAACTCACTTTGGTGACTTGAGGTCTCTGTGGATGATCTTGTGGAGGTGAAGATAGTTCATGCCCCCAGCGATGCCCATTGCCCAGTCCATGAGCAGGGATGGATGGATCTGCCTGCCTGCTCTCAGCACCTCATACAGCTGTCCTTGGGCACAGTACTCCATGATGATGCAGTAACATGGAGCCTGGGTACAAATACCCCTGAGAGTGTAGAGAAGTATGTACGGTATGTTAAGACAGAAAAAACCTGACATATATAACTATAAAGCTTTCACTTACTGAAGAAAATCAATCATATTATATAAACATTAAATTTTAGTGTAATGCTCTGCACTTCTTAATACACTGATAATTTCTACTAACTTGAAAGTGATGATGTTGGGGTGTTTGAGCTTGCGCAGGTGCTTGATGTCTGTCTCTTTGATGTTCCGCACTTTCTTTACGGCCACTTCCTGTCCGTGCAATTTGCCCAGAAAGACGGCGCCCTGGGCTCCGCTGCCCACCCACTGCAGATCAGATATCTCCTCGAATGGGACCTCCCATGCCTCTGAGATTGGGGGAGAAGATGGAGGCAAGGTAGTTGGTGAGCTTATGTTTAGTAACATGAGCAGAGTGATCATTGCGATTTTAACCTGTACCGATTATTTTTCACCAAAAAAATTGCTGTTTCCAGTCTTTGTGCTAACTAGGTTAGGTAACAGTATGCCCTGGCTCTTACAGCCAACCTAGACCCCAGCTGATATCTTGTTCTGTAGTTGAACCTCACTTTAACCTAAGACTCAGAGTGTGCAGGCAGACAGACAGGGAGCTCTAATCTCCTGTGGGTAATTCTCCCTCAGCCTCCTAAATCCTGCTTAGTGCCATTGTGGGGCTGACGCAAAACAGGGGTCCGACACTCAGGAGAGGGCTGGAAGAGGGAGGGGATTTAAAAGCCTAATGGTGGATGTATGGTGAGTAGGGAGGTGGAGGGGTAGTGACGGTAGTGGGGTTGTTAGCTCTGTGTGTGTGTGTGTGTGTGTAAAGAGAAAAGAAGAGAGGGGGATTCCCCACAGGTCGGCAGGGGTCCATGTGGCCAAAGACAGACTGTTAATACATAGAAAATATACAGCCTGCTCTGCTGCTGTTCTTAGCCTGAGAAATGAAGATTCGGACACATTTATCATATTAATAAGTATGGTATGAATGATTAATGCTCCCCGGTGATGAGGGCTCGGCCTCTGATGAGCCCCACAAATGTCCCACAGTCAAGACATACGACCTCATCTGATACACCACATTCCCCCCCCTGGGTCTGCTTTGTTTGATCTGAAAAATTGAAGAAATTTAGAACATCACTAGGCACCCCACAGTCCTTCACAATCAGAAAAGGGCAGACAATCTTCCTCCTTTCTATTGTGCTACATTGTGCCTTTCAGTCAAAGCTTAAGAATAGAGCATTGTGATATGGCAGGGAGGCATTCAGTTGCAATACCCCTATTTATTTCACTTTTATAATATCCGTTTTTGCTCCCGTCGGTGTGTGTGTGTGACTCCCTGTGATGCTGCACAGAGGAGGGGAGCAGCGAGGTGCAGATGGGCTGGGAGTGATAACAGCACAGGATGAAAAGGAGGGGAAAGAAGACAATGAGAGGTGGAAGGAGGAGGGGAGCGGAGGGGAGACGTGGAAGTCAAACGCTTGATAAAATATCAGAAGGCTATAAAGACAAGGAGACATATAAATCTGCCAACTTCAAGCCAGGTGTATGATGCAGTGTTTATTTTAGTTTTTAAGTTTTTTTTGGCATCTTATCTGACTTTATGTGTTCATGTCAGTACTAGATATTAAGTGTTTCTATTTGTGGATGTGTTTATGTGTGCCTGCAGTTGTCTTTGGGCGCATGCTCACGTGTGTGCGTGTGTCAGGTTTGCGTTAATAGAGATGAGAGGCGCAGGGTCAGAGTGTAGTTATGCATAATTCATGAAGCAGATTTGGCTCAGGAGTCCCAGGGGAGCTCTGTGCTATTGTAGTGGTTGCAGACATAAACAACACAGCGTCACAGGGAGCTAGTTTCATTGGGGGGGTGGTAGTGGGAGGATGGTGGGGTGGGCACAAGCAGGCGAAAGCATCGGGGGGGAAATATCAGGGGAAAATAAGCCCTTTGCGGCTTTGATAGAGTCTCTCTCTGGCTGCAGCTCTTTCACGTCAAGGAAAGTGTTTGTTTACAACATGGCCTTTGTGCGAGTCATTTTTCTACCAACTGTTTAATGTAATTAAACTGGGGGATAAGATCATTTAATTAGCATATCAAAGCTTCAGACTGGAATTAAATGGGAGCTAGTCGTTGCTTTTATTGGAAAACCAAAAGCAACCCTTGATGCCAGTGTGTGTTGATGTGTTTACGTTGAAATGGATTTGACTGCTAGACTCACCGTCCAGGTTGTGTTTGTGCTCCGTGGAGTAAGCTTTGCCAATCATAGTCCAGACAGGCCGCAGACATCCAAATAACCCCTCCAGAAACCCTCCTCCTCCTGTAGACTGGCACTGTAGCCTGGCGTCATCCACCTGGCTCCTGACCACACTGCTGTCCAGCTCCTGGCCCTCTCCCTCCGTCCTTCCGGGACTTCCATCATGCTCGTGGAGCTTCAGGACACTGTTGGCAAAGTGCTCCTGTTGTTCCTCGCCCGGTGTCTGGCTGTGCCCGGCACTCTGCCCTCCTCCACCCCCAGGTTCGACAGCACCTCCGGTGTCTATTGAGAGGACGTTCCGAAGGACGCATTGGGTCGGGGTCAGGTCCATTTCTGGGGTGCAGGGTGTTTCAGCATCAAGGCGGCGAAAGGATGGAGGATCAGAGAGGGGTGTGTTGAAGCCAGAGAGAGAAGGAGAGGGGGCACGAGGTTCATGAATAAGCGCCATAAGGGCCTGTGGTCATCAGAACAACAAGAGAACTGGAAGCCTTGACAAGAGCAAACACACAGAGAGAGAGGAAGAGAGAAAAAGAGGATGGAAATTGTTATAAATCAAATCAGAGTTAAAATCATTATCTTACCATCTGGGAGCCATAAAAGCAGGCAGATTTAGCTGAATACTGAGTCTGTGGGAGAGTCTGACCTCTGGAAGATCATTATTTAGGCCTCATATAAGTAGAACCTTAGTTACTGAGGTTAGGCTATAGTTATCGTAACAGGCAGAGGAACTCAGTGCAGTGACTGTTCTGTACCCTAAAATGCAGGTCAGAACCATCCAGCCCGGAATTAACTGCAAATGCAGGCAGGCAAGAAGGCACATCTCCCTTGAGCTGTGATATATATCAAAGACATTCACATTCATAGTTTCTATGTTCCTCTCATTCCAGTTATTTTTTGTTGTGTTATATCACCCAGAAACTGCTTTGCAGCTTTCTATAAAGAGAGACTTTAAGGACTGTGTGGGGGCATGGTTAAGGTTAACATTCAGAGAGTACACAAGAACAGATTGAGTGAAAAACATGCAGTTTTAGTAAACTGTTGATCATCAGCATAGATAGAGAAATATCGCGAAACAAAGATTGCACGTACCATGAAAAATTTTGCATTTTTAGTATTTCTCACAACTCCGAAGTAACAAATTATTTCTTGCTGCACCACCGGGTTCATTTTTAAAATGAAACCTAGGTGAAGATGAGAGTACAGTGGTTGTCAATCTACATGTGCCTGGAGATCAGGGCAGTGACATAAATTTATAAGTCATGGTGTCTGATCTCTGAAGATTTCTAATCAATACTAGAATGTGAAACATGATTCAGGATGTTTGGATAAAGGACAGAAGAACAGCCTGTCTGGACCATAAATCTGAGAAAGCCTCAGTTCAGCAGTACCCCCCACCACCACCATATATAGGTGCCACAGCATCACCGTACCTCAATTAAGTAATTGCCTTATATCTTACAGAATATGAACAAATTATTAACAAAGCCAATGTTCTGCAGGTAGAATGGTGCAATTGCCATTTATTTACTACTCCAGGAACATCACTGATATATTCAAATGGATCAGATCAAATCATGGCTGTATAATAATGAGGGAATTCTGCAAACCTCTTCAAAGCTTGTCATTTCTCCAAGGACGCCTGCACATACATGCTCAGCGGATGAAATGAAAATGCATTATTTCTTATCAGTGCCTTTTGAAGTGATTCACACCTCATCTGCTATCTCTGACAAGCAAGTCTAAGAGGTGACGGGTTTTACTGTGAAATAATGATACAAATCAAAAATGCTTAATGGTGCTAGCATCATCCTGTTGTTGTATGGTATGTGAGACAAAATAAACATGTGTTTTCTCTTCAGGTTATCATCCAGTGATTGTGAGGGGCACTTCAGGTATAGGCTATCCACCAAATATATCTATTTGCTGTCCATATCTTGATCAGTTTGAAGGTCAATTTTAGAATCACTATGCCTATATGTATTTACATGCCATTTTGGACTATTATCGACCACCCTACCGTGACAATTAGGCCTATTCTCACAAAAAGTAATGTACATGGCATCTGATGTAGCCTGATCCCCACCTAGCTGTAGAACCATCTATAGGCCTAATTCATAAAAGAGGAAGAGAGAAATCATATAGATGGGCTAGTTCAAAACAAGACAGACACAGCCCGCAGGATTCATTAAACCACACCACAACCATGAAGCTCAAAAATGGGGAAAAAACATCCTCATTATAATTTTCTGCGCCGAGAGAAACCCAAGCACCGAGACACATCTGGTGTCTGAAATCTGGAATAATCACACATCATTCACATCCGACTGATCCTGTCTGCTATAAAGTCCTGCTCTCTCTTTATTTATTACGAGGTATCAGCTGCGGGACCTCGAGAAGCAGGCTACGGTCTGTTGCAGGCCAGTGCATTAATTGTGGATGGCATCAGAGGGGTTTCTTGTGCGCATCATCGCTTCTCCTCGCATCTCCTGCGGTAAAGATCCCCGGTGCATTCGTGAAGCATTCACTGACAACACTAAAGTTACAGTTTATGTTTGAATAATAAAGGACCGGGTGCGTTGTTTAGGAATAAGATCTGTAATAGCCCAGCTGCCTTCTCATTGCTACTTATGACGCCGACTGAATGCTGCTAATGTCAAACAAACGTTTCCTACCTCAGTGCCGACAGCTGTGGTCCATCGCTGGGGACTGCGAAAGCTTATTCCACTTTTTAATTTAGGGTCGATTCTAAAAACAACCACCTAATAATTCTCCCTTTCTGGGGTTGTTGGTATAATCAGCATCCATGCATCTTCCTCCTCCTCCTCCTCCTCTTCTCTCTGCATCCAGTGAGGTTTCTCCGCCCGTGATGACTCGGAGGCTGCGTTTTCTCCTGCGTTTATCCGAGTGAACAGTAAACACAGCAAGCTATAAGCTCCCTCGGTTCGCTTGTTTTCCTGCTCCTACACCTCCTCCTGATTTTCCGTTCTCCTCTGAGGGCGCGATCTGCGTACACTCAGGAATTTATACGTCTATCTCACCTATAGTAAACACTACTGAGGAGAGGAGAGAGGGGAGAAGGGTGGGAGGGAGCGGCAATGTTGGTGTCCTATCAGAGAAGAAGTGGGCTGTGACGAGCTCAGTCCGGTGAGACACGGGACAACCGCAGGTAAACGGGTTTATATGTGTGAGTGAAGCTACACTTATAGGCACGGGGGGGGGGGGGGGGTCAGCCGGTATGTGAGGTGATCCAAATGATGTCATCCCCAAAGCATGCAGCATTTGACTGGACAGCACCATGTAAATCCCTTCAAACCCTATTAATGCCCTCTGTATTGAGTGTAATTGGTGCATAATCTGCGTGCACTATCCTCCGTCTGCCACGGAGGGGACATGAAGGAAGGACGGCAGGTCGTTTTTTATTATTATCATCTCCAATCTCTACTGACCCATTTCTCTCAGATAGGGAGAGTGGGACAGCACAGGACCTAAATGGGACTTTCCCCAGGCGTGATTTGTTTCCCTCAGGACTTCAATTAACCTGAATGAAGTAAAAAAAAACAAAAACAAAAAAACTCCACACTAATTTAGACAACTGTCATCTTTCAACACAAATCTCATTTTGTGTTTAAACATGCAATGCCACCAGATCATTATCTTCAATGGTTCCTGTTTAAATGCAGATTTTATTCAAGGGGTTATTTCCAAGGCCTGGCATTCTTGCCATCATACATGGATGAATTAAGTTTTTATTATTGTGTTATGCATACAACTATGGGCTTACAAGACACCAGAAAGTCCTATAAACCTGATTTAGAATGTGTATGCATATTCAAAACTAAACTAACCTACAAATAGTCCCAAAATAAAGAAATCACAATCATATTTTCACACCCTTATGTCCACAAAAAAAATCATAAGTCACTCACAAAAGCTGTACAATACTGAAGAAATCAGACTAAATACTAATTAAATTAACCATTTTTGCCTTCTCTTAAGACTTTCAAGACAAAGTCAGTGAACGGCTCGCACATTCAAGTCAGGGCTATCCTGCATAATGAACGGATGTAAGTGTAACTCTGCAGGGAGATCATGGGAGATCATGAAATCACAGCAATGGAGATTCTTCCAGAGAGTCAAGCTATTTGGCTGACACAGAGGGAAGATGTGAGTTTGTGGAACAGCTGGGGATCCCATGTCTGAGCTGTGTATTTACTGACAGTCTAAATGGTTGTAGCTGCATGACCCTTTTTGAGTGCTAAATTTAAATCCAGCCCTTATCCCTCAGACTAAGCTCATGTTGGGCTTAAACCCTAATGATGACCTCATCGTGCCGCTCGTGGACAGAAGGGAAACCCTTAGTAGTGCACAGAACGACCACTTGAGAAAGACAAACCTGCACGACTACACAAGTATTCAATTCAGCCCTCTCTTCTTCTCTCTGCAGAGCTTTATGAAATCCTGATGAAAAGAGATCATTGCACTGGCTGAGTTGGATACCTCCAGTGAAATTACAGTTGGGAAAAAGTAATTGCTTCCAGTTTCATTTATTCGTCTTTTGAGTCATTCTACGCCTTCTGCTTCTACATGAAGCCTTGCCAAATGAAAATAAGAATTGGAGTTATACAGAAGCCACCATAATAAGATTTTTTTTCTGTAACTTAAAATGTTTAGACTCAGTGAGAAGAAATCAGAGCAACAGCAAAATAATAATGGACTTGTTTATGCAAGTCATTCAATGTTTAACTGTAACATTTTCTTACAACCATTAGGGACACTATCAGGGTATTGTTCCATTTCTAAAATGATTTTTGACTTGATGCTTATGTTTTAATTTTACAATCTAATGGACCATTATCTTCAAGTTCCCAAATGAATATTCAAGGAACACTAGCTAAAATGTGGTTTATAAATGTTTAATGTTGGTTTTAATATCACATGAAATAGAGAGAGTGGGCAAAAATCAGTGGCTTTAATCTTTCTTGCTATTTTATGCCATCCATATCTATAATTCCACTCCCTACTCTGTCTTAAGGCGGTCTGAATGGAGCAGTACATCCTCTATTCTATTTCTATCTTTTTCTTAAAACTTTCTTCATGATTTATTTATTGGCGCTTGTTGTTGCATGATGGCTCCTTGTCAGAGATGTTCAGTCCTCTGAGGGTCTGTGCTGCTGCCTCTGATGTCCACCAGCACAGCTTCTGCCTCTGTTATTGTTACTCTAGCAGAAACAAACACAGAATGAACACCGCAGGGTACCACTCCTAATAAGATAAAAACTTCAAATCTACAAAGCGACACCTTTAAAAAAAATGCAGTAGGACTCCCGCTGATTTTTAAAGATTGAACAGTGGATTCCAAATGAGCTACATGCGTTTACCTGTCATGTTCCATACTAACTGCTTACATGCTTACAACTGCAAAGCCTTAATCTGACTACGAAAGGAATGGCTGTACAACTCTGTGCTCTAGTTACATCCACCACACGCTGATGTAAAATGCTGCATTGTTTGGCAATATAATCTGTAGGAGGGAATTAACAGAGGCCTGCAGTGAAGGATGTCGGGAGGAATGGCATGTGTGTGCATTAGGAGCATATTTGCCACTGACTATGAGTGTACAATATGTTGTGAAAGGCTGGGTGCCAAGTGGTCACAGATTGTCCCAGTCCAGTTAAGGGGGAAAGATGTAGAGTAGAGGTGTGTGTGTGTGTGTGTGTGTGTGTGTGTGTGTGTGTGTGTGTAGGGTTGGGTGTAGGGAATGAGGGGGAGGGCAGCTTCTGGCTCTTTGGAGAGCCTATTTATGGATCCTCATGGAGAGCCCCTTGTGTTAGTCATTGTCACTTTCACTCACACACTGCTGAATAGGTGGCCAATCATCAAATCCACTCAACTCTGTTCCTAAAGGGAACGTGAACAAAAGAAGCAAAGATAATTGGCACTCTGCTTCAACATCATATTGACTGAAAACCAACAGTAGAATTGCAGAGAAAGTCTTTGAGGTGTCCAATGAAAGAAGACAGGTAAGTGTGTATAAGATATATTTGTGTGTGCTTATGTATGTCTGTGTCAATATGCACAATGGAGTGATCCGTTCCTGTCTGTCGAGGAAAACTGATATTAGACAGTACTGACATCAATCAGGTTGCCACTACTGTGTGTTTCATCAATATGGTCCACTGATGGGATTCATTAAGATGGGCGCCAACCATTATTGGTGGATGGGTAAGGGGGCTGGTGGGTGGGGGATTCTCCATTTCAACAAGATGATCTCACCTCCTGTCTGCAGCTGAGGAAGAAGAATTTTCATTCATAAAGTTCATCCATTCACGCATGCGTGTTCACGCACATGCACACACATACATATACATATCTCCCAACAGGATGCTGAGGAAACAGTTGAGCCAATGAGGCAATTTTCAGGTGAGATCACTGATAGATGCCAAGGTTCCTCTTTCCATTTAAAAACTCTGTAAAGGGTGAGCATTTGATGCCTTTCATCATCCACCTTGCCTGCATTACAGCACCACATACTCCCCATGGAAAGAAGATATCATGATAGATAACTGATCAAAAACATGTTGAATAAAATGTGCATCTCCAAATTTGCATAAACCTACATTAACTGATTTTCTGGCCAGTTGGGGGCAGTGGAAACAAGCTATAAACACAGCTCTGGCATATTTTTAGCCTTTAAAGGGTAGCTTCAGTATTTTACAACCTAGACCTTAATTTTCCCATGTCTTTGTGTCTATGTGACTAATTGGAATATTTTTTTAATTGATCCAGTGTTGAGCGAGTGTGCTCGCAAAACAAGGCTGCAGAACATGTGAGTTGCTGGTCTACTTCTGCCTCGGTTGGTTAGTTTGTGTTATTGTGTGACTTTGGTGCAGCGGTAGACCACAGATAGGAAAATTTGTATATTTGTCAAAGGAGTCTGGTGCCCTTGACGAGAGCGATACTGGTTAAACAAAAAGGATCTTACTTTAAAAAAAAGATCTCTGTAGGAAATCTTTCCACAGTGTTTTTAGAATTTTGGCGGGGTGCAATTGCCCCCAAGGATTATGTTGCAGCTCTTTTTCCAGGGGTGGTTTGTTCATTAGGGCGATCGGGTGACACACCACCAAAGCGGGAAAGGCAGGGGATTTTTCTCACACTTTCTACCACACTGTTAGTTAGCTGTGACTGTTTATCTGAATATCGTTGTCCAATCAGCGTCAAGTCGTTTTTCACGGAGTCGTGTTTCACAGAGATTTCAGTCTGGTTAAAAAGGGCCCAGATCGCTCTAATAGACTTTCGTGTAATTGCATTTTTTTTTTGAATTGTGGGCAAGGCAATGCAATCTCTATGGCTTCCGGTGGGGCTTGCACTTATATTTTTACATCATGCGCCCACAGCAGAACTACGCTTCTGCCAATGTGACCTGAAAACGACTCAGCAGTCTGTCAGCTTGTTGCTCTCATGTGATCAGCTTCAGTTTTAACAAAACGTACATTCAGGCTGAAAATTCAACCTACTGGACTACTTTTTATATTCATAAAGAAACGTAAATTGATGAAATAAAAACTGTAGTGTGTCTGTTAGCCTAATTTCTTTTTGACATACTTGGTAACCATTTTATAAAAGCAATAGCTCACTTCAGGCTGTGATATAAGCTTATTATATCACAGTTAGGCGAACAACACCCCTTAACTGTGATATAATAAGCGTATACCACGGCCTATCGTGAGCTATTGCTTAATTATTTCATTACTGTAGCCTATTACTTGAGACAGGTCCTTTAGCTGCAATGCAAGATTAACTGTAAATCATTTTATTCATTGCACATTATCAGCCCCAGTGCCACTGCGCTTTATTCTGGATTTGTTGTACCTAAAAAAACAGGATTGTCACAGCTAAAACAGATGATTGTGAGAGTCTTTCTTTTTCTTAATTATTGCTAAAGCAGTTGCCTTTACATCAATCTGTTGATCTTCACTGTGGAATGTTCATTCATTGTAGACATTGACAATGAACTTCGGGATGTAGATGTTCACAAATACTATACAGTAGACCATTGA